TAATAATACTAATATATTGATATTTTTCTAATTTTGACCTATTTTTGCTTCTGTTTGGCGTCATCATGGATGCTAGGTGACATGACGTATGCCGGGGTAAGGACGGGAGTCTAGACCGTCCAAATCCACAGCCTCTTTTTTTCCGGTCTTCCCGGTCTACCAAGGACCCGGCCCACCTCGACTGGGTAGTCTGGGTCCTCTGGAGGACCCGGCCTGTTGTTTTGGACACAGCCTCTGAACGAATGAATTTCTTGCGCACCGGAAAAAGCAAACAGTGGGGGAGGGCTGTGGGCGGGACTAGTGACTGTCGTGACAGCCTACATAAGCTTCTCAGGAAACGTGGATAAAACCTGTGCCAGGCCACATTTGGCCCGCAGGCCTTAAGTTTGACACATATATGTTAGATGTTTTTTCCCTCATCCTCTGATCTACTTAAACAAGAAACGACCTGATTAAGATTTAATCTTGATCATTTTGTTATTTACAGTAAACTTAACGCTTTAAATATGGTGCACCGCATGCATAAAACCATAAGAATAAAAGTGCAGGGACTGACTTGTTCAAGAGGAACAGAAAGGTTCTCTTCCTTTATGAATCATCAGTCCAGTAATATAAAAAAGAGAACATCAAAATATCCTGTGTGAAAACAGTCCGGCTTAGATTTACACAAAAAGGAAATAAAAAAACTGTTTGATGTTGGTTAAATCAATTTGTGTAAAAGCTCAGATATTTTATTATTTCATTGTTTTTTATGCAATTTTGAGGTGGTCTTAGACTGTGATCTGGAATAAGCCAGATTTAATGAAAATGTGTGTGTGTGTGTGTGTGTGTGTGTGTGTGTGCGTGCGTGCGTGTGTGTGTGCGCGTGTGTGTGTGTGTGAAGTGTGGGGGGGGGGTCCACAAAAACAAATAGAAAGAAGAACAGGAAACATAAATGTTCACCAACAGTCAGCAGTCTCATACACACACGTGCAGTGATTCACATAATATGGAGGCACAATGTGAGATTAATTACCTCTTTAAATAGAAAAAATCCTACTCTGCTGCATCTAAAAAATAAAAAATAAAWAAAATCCAGAATCAACCTTTTGCTTTCATCTGCTTCAGTGAACTTTACCAAACTCTGGCTCACAAAAATCCAATCAGGAGTAAAGTTTGTGTTCCATCAGCACATTCATAGCTGTTTTTTTTTCTTTAGATGTCAAAGATCATGTAGTGTAGATCCTCACTGCTATAAAACTGTAATCAGGAGAGGTTAACTCTCACACTTTTTACCTGCCGCAGGACTTACATTCAGCTGTCCTCACTATATATGAAGTATGATTTTGTAGAATTTGTATATCTTCAAGATTTATTTGTTAGTGTTTAACTAAATGTTGATCTCTTTCAATTTTTGCTTTGTTCAAGTTAAATAAAAGAACCCAATAATAACCAAAAACAAAGCTTAATTTGTAGCTTTGTGTTCTTTCAAAAATGTAAAAACAACAACAAACTTATCATTTCCTGGAGAACACAATACACGCGTGCCAGAAGGCAACTTTTTGGATGGAGTTGCCATGAGGCAAAAAATCCATAAAMCAAATCATAAAAGGCGTCAATAAAGCTGTGGCTCTTGAGTGTTTTAAACATTTGCTTTTCCAACAGTACATTCTGTTTGTGTGCAGAAGTCAGATTTTCTGAGTTCAAAGTTGTAAAAACAAATTGGAGCAGCTGAAAACGTTGGAACATAAATTCAGGATGTCAGATATTCCAAACCAGCTCAGACCTCCAAACCTAATAAGGCTGCCTGGCACATTAAAGGCTGTGATAGCTGCAAATAAAACGTTTGTGCATTTGTATCTCACTAAAACAATCATAGACATGTTACTGTGGTACATCAATTAGAAAAGATACAGTGTATGAATGCAGGAAATAATAAAAATGCTTTGTTTTAATTCAGGCCAGCTAAAATTAGCTAGCACAGCAAAATCTACTGTTCTTTTGAGCGACTAGAACACAATTAAGCCAGACGTTAGCTACATCATTCTAAAAACYGAGTTTTGATTTCTCTAAATAAACWGCARCGTAACTTCCTGTGTAGCAGCTAYCTGTGCTGCAGTAACGCTAGCTTGTAAACAGGTACAACCAGAGGAAATGTGGTTTCTGCTGTTATTTTTTATTTCTGTCTGCCCCTGTAAAACTACTACAGCTAACAATGTTTGTGTTAGCATCTCTGCTTGTCAAAAAAACCTGTTCTTTGTTGTTGATACTTGTGTAAATTTATATTATTTTTTGTTGTTAGCAGCTGTACGTATCAGCCAAGACAAGCACATAGCATGCTACAGCTATCACTTCTATGGACTCACAAGACACAACCACAAACTTGTGTTTTGTAATTCACCGTCAGAGGAAAATGCAGCAAGTTTCTAAAATTTGTCTCAATGTTCAGCTGCAGTAGCTGAATAGCTATATCTAACATACAACACTTCACTGTTGGCAACGATAYTTAAGGAAGTCACACAAACTGAATTTATCTAACTCTTAACATTCATAATTTTGACTTTTGAACTTTCGTCCTGTTCGTTACAATTGAAACCTGCCATCTTTGAACCTGATGCCTTCTTACGATTTGGCGCTAATCACAGTAACTCTGAACGTGACAAGATGTTCCTGAACTCTGAYCCTCAGCTGTATCAAAGGAATATCTTCTTTCATCTTGGCTAATCACCCGTCTCTTCACCTCATTGCTCCTGTGTAAACTGAACTCTGATGCTCATTGAGTCTGTCAGGACATTGTTTCGTCTCCTATCAGCATCCACCTCCCTCCCTCTTTCCACCTTTATTCACCCTGCTTTCTGTCTTGCTTCATCTCTTCGCGGCTGTGCTAAATCAGCACGTTTAACTTGTGCTTTGCACTCTGTTTTTTTCTGAGACAGTAATGACGCACTTTATTATAGTTATTCACGCACGCGGCTTTTCCGGGTTGCACCACGTAGGGGTCTTTGGGTTGGCGGTCTGTGGTTAATGTGAAGGATCAGGGTTAATGGTTAATTTTAGATACTGAGGTCAGAGATAAGCTGAATATGGCTAATAGAAGTTCAATTTAGAGTCTGGGACTGTTTGTTGTTGTGCATTTYCTACTCTTTTCAAAAATATGACAATGCACYCCTCCTCCGTCTCATCTCGTTAATAACTGACGCAAGGAGGGTGCCCAACGCGTCCAAAACTGGAYGCAGACTATACCTGACCAAGSGTCAATATGTGACGAGTTGGGAGTGAGAATGGGTTGCATTAACATGACAAAATTTAGAGTAGGTGTGCTGATTACTAACAGCGTCCAGGTGGATTGGGACTAAAATCAATGAGCAAAAACATGACAAACCGAAATCACTCAAAGTCCTGTACACCATGACAACTCTGGTGTTTTCCTTCGAAGTTGTGAATTTCAGACAGCCACCTTTTATGCTCATCTATGCTAGGGTAGTATTTCTTTTTGCACTGAACTGTATGGAAGAAGATTGGCAGGCAAATTAAAATATTCAGGACTAAGAAAAAAAATCAGAATTCTGATAATAATAATAAAAAGTGGCCCTAGTCTTCTACCATAGAACTGCAACAGGGTTTTTTTTCCCTTGAATTGTACTTGGGCTAAAATCACAACTAGACCCGTTTTTATTTGTGGACACGTCTGACACCTGTCTCTTTGCCCCTGTCTCCCATCCGCCAGGTAACATCATTGGCTCAGGTATCTTCGTCAGCCCAAAGGGAGTGTTGGAAAATGCCAGCTCTGTGGGCGTGGCTCTGATCGTCTGGATCATCACAGGAATCATCACGGCCATCGGAGCGCTGTGTTACGCCGAGCTGGGCGTCACCATCCCCAAATCCGGAGGAGACTACTCCTATGTGAAGGACATCTTTGGTGGCCTGGCTGGGTGAGTGTACACATMTTAATTAATGATCTAAAACCATCATGCCATCAAAATATGTGCTATTAGTAAAACTAGATAGAAAAAAAACGTTGATTTATTGAGGATCAAAGTTTAAAAAGTTTCAGTGTTTAGCATTTGTCWTTGTCACATTTGGACTCTGGGGACATTTTCATCATCCATAAACTGCAAAAAGAAATGTCAAAATCCATTTAATCAAAAATGTAGTAACCTCAGACCCCAACCCTGACTTTATTTATTTATTCATCTATGTATAGCTAAGCTGCTTTGAATGAAAGTTTGGGAACCACATAAAATAACAAAAACAAACTATATAGCAAGGCAACATTGTGAACCTACATTTCACACACTGTAGGTTTTTCCTCTGGCTGTAAACACAGAGTGAAGCATTGTTTTATCACAAGAATACATATTATCAGGGTGTTTCTGGAGCGGAATTCAACCAGACATAACAGCTGAAGATTGTCTTTGGTCTTTTTTGAATCCATACACATCAATGATTTTTTTTTAACCTCCAGAGACTTCACGGCTCTGTTTGAAGCATGTCTCTATGCTCCTCTAGCACAAATAAATCCTGTTGGAGGGATGTTTGTTTTTGTGTTACTGCGGCTTTTGTCTCCATAAGCATGTAAAAATGTAGGGGTGGAGGAGGTGATGTTGTGTTTGCAAACGGGTCACTGAAATGGCAGCTTGTCACAAAAGCTGAAAGAAGTTGAGCCACAAAAGGTGAACAAAATAATTAAGACAGTGGTTTGAATAAAAAGAGCCACGGTTGTATCAGACGGATGAGAACAGGGTAACATCAGGGCTCATTGGACAAGAGATTGAGGCAGCAGGTTTGCACAAAATTAAACAAGTAGTATCTTACCTGATGCAGATACTTCACTCGTGAACAAAACCCAGAGATACTTAAACTCCTCGTAAAAATACAAGCTATAGTTAAGTAAAATTATAACCTTCCATCAGTTTTTCCCCTACTGAACACGAAGGACATCCCCCACCCCCAACAGAACCGACCGCCCTGCCCAACAACTCCCATATTTTCTGGTGTACAACTGAAATACTGGCTGTGTCCAAATTCAGGGGCTGTGTCCTCTGAAGGCCAAATTTATTGTCCGCGTACATCATTGCACCATGCCGAAGGCTGTCCAAATTCAAAGACTCTTCCACTTGCGGCCCACAAACGTGACCCATCATATCGAAATGAGGATTAAGTCAAATTTGGTCAAAATGACCTAATTACATCTCCAAATTCTTGGCTTTAAAAGCTACATTTTGATACCTGGATCATTCTGATATCATAATTAAATCCATATATATGACTTAATTTGTCTTGTTGGTTACAATAATACAAAAATATTTGGTCTGAATCCTAATTTTATGTCATTTTAATGAGGAATTTGTGATGTCCTAATAAAGAGGAAACTTCAAGTTATATTTGAATATTGAGATTTCCTAGTTAAAAAGAAACACAGCTTTGCTAGCTCACAGGGAAAATCTTAAAATTTTAAGGCGTTTTTCCTCAAAATCAGTTTTTTTTTTTGCTACTGCTCAAAAAAGTGCTTCAAAATTTTGTGTTACGATTATATTTCAGACACTTCATTCAAATAATACATTGATAAGGCNATTCTGATATCATAATTAAATCCATATAAATGACTTAATTTGTCTTGTTGGTTACAATAATACATAAATATTTGGTCTGAATCCTAATTTTATGTCATTTTAATGAGGAATTTTTGATGTCCTTATAAAGAGGAAACTTCAAGTTATATTTGAATATTGAGATGTCCTAGTTAAAAAGAAACACAGCTTTGCTAACTCACAGGGAAAATCTCAAAATTTTAAGGCGTTTTTCCTCAAAATCAGGTTTTTTTTTTTGCTACTGCTCAAAAAAGTGCTTCAAAATTTTGTGTTACGATTATATTTCAGACACTTCATTCAAATAATACATTGATAAGGCATTTATATTTTTGACAAAAGGCAATTTTTGTTAACATTTTAGTCAAAACACTTTATTTGCCTTTTTCTCCATATACAACTTTTGGACTTCATCCTCGTTTTGATGTGATGGGTCACAAATGCGTCCTCCTTTTGCCCCAATTTGAGGGACGGGTCTGGTGGATCCTTCTTGGCCCACCCTATCCCAAGATGTATATTGTAGGCCGACTGAGAGATTTGCTTTTGCTTTTTAATGGTGAACAAAGTGAAAGAAAGGAATACAGTTTTAAATAAAAATCTGTCTGTAAAAAATGTTGTGTTGTTAATGTTTTTGTCATTTGCACGACATGATTTTTTATATTATTCTTGTCAGAAATCAAACAAGCTGATACATTGAGTCTCTTAGTTCTTCAAATATTGCCTTAAGCTAATCTTATTATAATTTTAATAATACATTAATAATATGATACGCTAAGAAACAGGRCATTTGCCATGGTGAAGGCGGGAATAAAGCTGGAGGCTAGGCCGTCCAAATTCACGTCCACTTTTTTCGGTCTTCTGCTCTTGGAGTGCAGCAGGTCGTTTTCAGCGACGCGTTTTATGGCAGGCTGATTTAAAAATCGACTTCACCACACTTACATTCCAGATATCTGACAYTGGTTTATGACTAGACATATTACAGTATTTAATTAAAATATCTTTAAATATATTTTGAGTAGRCAAAATACCTATTTGAGGTATCTCAAATTACATTCTGACTTGTATAAATGATGTCAAATTTACCATTAAATTGTATGGAAGCTCCAGTTCAAGTCAGTACTGTAGGGGAAACGCTGCAGGTTCTGTCTATTGAATCTTTCTTCAAAATGGCTGAAATATTCCTTTAAAACAAATTCATTCACAAACACATTACAGATAGTACACTAATGCAGTTATGTGTCATGATCCCAGTACTGGCTTTCATAAGAATTCATAGAAATTCATTGAATTTGATAAAAAATGTCCCCTGCCTGGTTTGTCCCATAGTAAACTCTGTTAAGCCCTCGAGGCTCTTTTGTCTTTCCACTAATCTCAGCAAAATTTAACAGTTTCTGAGTCACTCAGCAACCAAAGAGCAGGCTTTTAGCATTTATTACATATCAGAGTCAGCTGATGGGCTGTTTTTCAGGGAACTAATGAATGTTCTGCCTCACATTGTTTTAGTTTAGGAAAGAAGCCTACGCTTTATTTAATTATCAGATTTCTGATAGCATAGAGGTTTAAAACTGCCCCCATTGCACCCAACTGAATGTAGAAAGGAAAACTGTGAAGCCGGGTTCCCACCAAATGCGTTTTGAGCAGCAAAAATGCTCTCAAAGCYTCCAGTTGGATGCACTATTGAGGAAATAAAAGGAAGTTGTGGCTGATTGTGAGGTAACATCAAAGTAGGTCAAAATGTACAGTTACAGCACAGGATTTCCCTGTTATGTTGTTCTGAGTGCTGGAGGGAATTATTTGTTTTAATTATAATAATTATATTTTAAGTAAAACATTCAGTGTTTTAGATCTTTCTTAGACTGAAATGATCAATAATTTTGGTGCATGTTTGAAATTTTGTGAATCTCTTTGTTGATCAGTTCAGTTAAAAGTTCTCTGTTGTTGTTTTTTTTTTTTTTGTCTCCAAAGTGGTGAGTTAAAATTCAATCTATAGACTCTATAATCCAAACCCTACCTTACTAGCTTGATTTACATGTTAGTGAATCTAAGATCTTTTATTATTATTATTCATTTTACCTCAGGTTCCTGCGACTGTGGATCGCTGTGCTGGTCATCTATCCAACAAACCAGGCTGTGATTGCGCTGACGTTCTCCAACTACGTCCTCCAGCCTCTGTTCCCCACCTGTTTTCCTCCAGAAAATGGCCTGACGTTGCTCGCAGCTGTCTGTCTCTGTGAGTAGCATGTTAAATGCATWCATTTACATCTAAAAGTTTAACTTCAATCAAAATCTACAACTMTTAAAACATGAATTGCACTGTCAGCTCTATACTAGCTGTTAGCGCTGATTGCACTGATAGCCCTTTAGTTCCAACAAGCTGTTAGCTCTGACGAGCTGTTAGCAATAACTAATCAGTTCTGATTAATTGTTAGCACCAATTAGCGGCTAGCTTTGACTTGACATTTAGCTCAACTTGCTGTTAGCTCTATTCAATAGCACTGGGTAGTGGCTTTGCCTTGTTGTTCACTTCTGACTAGTTTTTAATGTGAGTTCAGAAGAGACCAACTTTTGTTTGGTGAGAAAATCATCAACTAAAACAACAACGAAGCCCAGATTAATAATAAATCATTTCTATGCCCAACATTTATTCTGGTGTGGAGAATGATCAAGATTACTCAGCTGTTCTCAGACACTTTTCTAAGCTTATGTGCTATTTAATCCTCATTTAGAAATTAAGAAAAGTAAATAAGAATCAAAAGGAAAGCAGTGGAAAAAATGTGACAATTAATGGAGAGAAAGGTCAGTGTGAACAGTTGACCTGAACCTCTCTACAGATCACACATGAGATGTTCACAGATCCTGTAGAATGTGTGTATTATGTGTGACTGTTCTTTGTAAATCTCTGTTAATTCCTGACCTTTACTCTACTTCTGGAAAGTTTCCAAAAGTAATCCATAAAGACTGGTTGAAACTGGATTTTTGACCCAGTTCTTGCAGCTCAAATCAGATTTCAAGAGGAATAACAAATGTAGATGGTATTAATTTATATCCTGTGATTTCATTGCAAAGTTTAATGAGCGGAGAAAAACAAGATGTTGTGCGACTGGAAAAACTGGAGCTGTCATATTGGCATTGGCACTGTTCAGATTACTGATGTCTCTCTGGTAGAATTAGCAATGTGTTTAATAGTTTTATGTTCTTTTTCTTCTACAGAAATTCTCTTAACAGCTTTTCCCTTATGAAAAACACTAAGAATATAATCACTGATGGGTAGTGGGTTACCCTGACTGGCTRGTGACTGGGCTAGCTGTTAGCTCTGACTAGCTTATAAATGTGATTAGCTGTTTGCTCTGGTTGACTGTTAGATCTGATTAATCATAAACTTTGACTAGCTATGAGCTCTGACTTTTTGACATATGTTTTGATTAACCATTAGTAAATATATGGAGATAATGACATCTTTTGACATTTCAGTCCTCCAAACACTGTAGCATCATACACACAAGGTGTACAGTAATACAAGTGTGGCAGCCAGTAGAGCAAAGATGAGCCTTACGATGGTTAACGTGTCTTTAATTTTAACTTTCGTAGCATATTTCCATCCTTCAACCAACGTAAGAACTAAAAGCAACAAAAAATAAATAAAGGAAAATTACAATGTCGTTTTAACATTTCAAAGTTTTCTGCAAGGACATTAGCATACATTTTTTATTGTAACATCTTCATTAAACATATTTACCTTGTTCCTCCTTCTCAACTGGTACTAAACCTTTAGCYTTTTATTTATCCATGTTTTAATATCGCACCACGCTGTTTTCTCTTCCTTTTGCCGTTGTCTGCTTACCATCAAGCTAACTACTCAAACACATGTATTCGTGTCCTTCAAAATAAGAGACTTCCGGGTGTACAGGAAGTTACAAAAATAAAAGCATGTGRAAATAAGATTGACCTTCAAAATAAAATACCATTAGTAAATGGCCTTTACAATTARTAAGATATAAAGTGACAGAAGAGCAAACAAATAGTTTAATACTTCACCTGTCCCCACTTTTTATGCATGAGGCAGCCATGTTGTTTTTGGTTGTGACTGGTGTGATAACCGTTCCTTGTAAGGTTTCTCACATTGGGAGGTGTTTTATTTAATTGGAAACTTGTAAATAACATTTTTTTAAAAAAAACGGTTGTTTATAATGCTCAAAAACTTTGTCATAATATACCATAATTAACCAGTGCAAAGCTAAAATGCTGCCAAAAGAAGGAGTCACTTMCAAAGTGAGAAAACTGTTGTTCGTTTTAGTCTGATTAAATGACATCACTTGCAGAGAAGTGTATAAAATACAGACTTACAATATTTGCACAACTATGTGTCGCCCAACTTTAAACTCATCTTTCAGTCTGACACATCCTGCAACACAAAACTGAAAACAATCTTTTTGCCGAGGCTGACAGGTCCAGGATAAAGGATCCTCAGTGGAAGTCTGAACACTCTGTACTTTTTCATTTTATGACACTTTGACTTACATTGACTTGACTTCCTCATCCTATTTTCATGAACCTCTTCAACTGCAAAGAGCTGAATCTTGAAACAAACCGCCTGCAGTCATTTTACAGGCCTACCGCTGTGTTTACAGCTTTTCTCTTGAGCTGATTGGACTGATGTTGCCAGACAGCTTTCTGGAAAAAAAAAAAAAGAAGAAGAAATTTGGACGATGATAAATCTGAGTTTGTTGTTCTTCTGAGGATAAAGAAGGGAGAAGCTAGCTGTCAACTGTGATGTCATACATGGGGCACTTTTTGAAAAAGTGAGATGTATTCTAATGTGTTCCTTTGCAAAATGATTGATTGGTTTGAAGGATATTTCCTTGCATGCTTATGCTTAAATCAGGACCAAAACAAAGTTATGGGCTGTTATTAGTTCCCAGATTTAAACGTCTGTCCTCGGGGTGTCCATGAAAATAACAACAACAAGTAGGTGGATGCATGTGTCATGTAATCTCCAGCATCGTGACAAAAAACATTGTTTACCAGCTGATGGATTTAATAGGTTTAACATGTAATGGCCTGTATTGAGGAGAATTAGCCGGTTTTATTTTGCCTCATTCTGGGTGTTTGTGTTCAAGGATAAATAAAATCAGAGGCTAATCTGTCTGCACAGCCTCTCATTTGTTTCCCYATTTGTTGACCACAGCTGGAATTTTATTTGAAGGCTCAAAAAATAAAAAAATAAAAAGATTTTTAAGTCCAAGGATTTGCCCTCAGTACCCACCTGTCTACTCCACATGCAACTCCAAACATGCTCAGTGTGCAACCTTCACCACGTGCGYTCGTCTTGTTTTGCCTGTTAGCGCAGATCCTTGCATGTCTGCTCATGTGTCTTTGTTCCTGGCAGGRGCAGCTTGGAGTTATTTATTATGATGGTGAAGGAAATCCAGACAAACATCTCGGTTTAATACAGACACCCTGTTAGTCGGAACTCAGCTTCACGTTGTGCAGTACATGCAAAGAAATGTATCGAAAGGTGCAACTTTCAGAATAAAACATGGACATAATGAGGTTGGTCAGAGCTATCTACAGCAGATAGGATGTTTATGACATTTCCACAGAAACACACTTTGAAAAATCTGCAAAAACAAACACAAAAAAGAAGAAGAAGAAGAAGAAAAAGTGAATCTTAATAAACCTGCTGTATGTCCAAACATTACCTAAATACATTTAAAATATAATACTTAAGTTACCATGCTATATTTTTAAAAATGCTTTGGGATTTTAAACTTTGACAGATAAAATTAAATACTCTTATTTTGAAAACTGAAAAGCCAGACARATTAAGCTCATCAGTGTCCATTGTCACAATTTCTGTGGTATTAAGCAATAATCTTCTCTAACAGCGAGTTAAAAGGAAGTCCAGTAAAACCAGTCACGCATGATMCAATAAAGTCTTGTCAAGCAGCTGACTAAAACTTGTGCTATTTTAAACTTGGTTGTTAACAAACAGCAATGATATACGCTCCATCAGCTTAAGAAGAACACTTTCCAGGCAGTTGAAACAGTGATGTACTGTAGATGTATTATACTACCTATAGGCTATATGTAACACTAACTACATAAGTCTAAAAAAGTCTTTTTTATTATAATAAAGTAAGAATTAATGGTTTTCTGTGTTTCCGTTCAGTGCTGCTGACATGGGTGAACTGCTACAGTGTGAGGTGGGCCACCAGAGTTCAAGACATCTTCACCGCCGGCAAGCTTTTGGCCCTTGCCCTTATCATCATCATGGGCATTGTGCAGATCTGCAAGGGTAAGCTTTCTGCCGCCGTGCGTACGACATAAAGGACTTGTGRCTCAGACACACACTCAGACACACACTCAAACACACACTCGCTCGCGGTCAGTGGGGACATCCTCAGCGGTTCCGAATCATATGGACTCCATGCTGCTGTCACAAAGGTCAGCGAGTTGMTGGGGTCCTTTAGGTTAAAACTCACATTGCTMATGTCAGCAGGACTGGAGGGGTTTACAGTCCAAACATGGACGAGGGCCAGTTATTTTAGGGGGCCGCAAAGATAGGCCCCTGAAACAACAAAACAGACACTTCAGAGCGCAAAGGCTTTGGAAGATAATGAACAGTTCGGTGGGTAATGATGGAAGATTTTAGTTCACAAWAGATGAATGTGTGCTGGTTATAGCAAAGGATGCTAAAGCATGCACGSAAGAAGCAAACACTCAGTAGCTGCGTTTCCATTGACCATGAAAATGAGCAAATTAGAATTTCGAAAATAAATTTGCTCAWTGGAWACAYGTCTGTTTTGAAAAAACTTCCTTTTTTTGACAAAATGTTTTTGCGCTAGAGATTGGTGTATTTYGCAAAACTGCAATGGAAACACTTTTTTCGCATTACGGAAGTCACGTGATCAACARCCGGCTGTTTCTACTGGCAAAAAAGAYGACGACAATGAAGACAACAGGAAGTAAAATTAGTAGTAAAATCACAGAAGTAGTAAAAGAAAGTAGTAAACTCACTGACTACAATTTCCCAAAAACGCTGCATACGTAGCCACTCCCACATTTGCAATGGAAACGCAGCTAGTGGAGCAAACTTTCAAGGCTTAAAACCACGACATCCTATCTAGCACAGGGTGTTATCCTAGACACCTGGTATCGTTCACATCRCATATCAGTACCATCACTCATTCAGTCCACTAACATCGCTTGTCTCCGTCCCTCTCACCCAACAGTGCAGCTATTCTGGTCCACTCTTTGGTCACATMTTGTCTAGATTACTGAAACTCCCTCCTTTTTGTTTTACCAGCAAAATCCATTTATAAAATCCATCTAGTACACATRTATGAAACTCAAGGCCCRTCGGYCAAATGTGGCCTGCCACAGCCTTTTTTGGGGCCCCCGAGAGCTTTGAAGATATATTTATGTCTTAAAATCAGTATATGCTGTTTTAAAGTACATCTTCCATAATGCATGTTGATAGTTTCAACCACATAATGACAGCATCCCACCACTAGGTGGAGGTGCACAGCATTCAAAAGCAGTTGGTGYAYATTTTGCTGAACTACATTTGCCTCAGCCCTGGAAAATGGGAATTTCCGACTTACAAGTTGTAAATTTAAACTAGAACGGCCGTCCTGTGGGAATTCCCTGTGGGAAAGTGGGAGAGTTCAGAATTCAATATGGCAGCAACTCACCACAGTCACAGACGTAGTACTTTTCAGTGTTYTCAGTGTTAAAATGCTCTTTCTATGCAGGARATGYCACGTAGAGCTCAGTTATTGTTTGTCAGCAGTGATCRGCYKTAGAAATGAGATGAGGAATGTGATGAAGTTAAACATGAAGCATCAAAATTAATTCCAACTGGCCCTTTGAGGGCCACCATAATACTCATGTGGCCCTCAGAGAAAATGAGTTTGACACCCCTGAACTGGACCAAAACTCAGCTGCTCGTATCATTTCCAGAAGCCACATTAAAACCTCGTCCTCTCTCTAATACGTTTGCTTCCAGCCTCAGAACYCCGATTGTTCATCACTTCCCTTTTACGCACACATTTCTTTCTTGAAAAAATTTTGGCATTAAAACGTGATCCTCCATAAATATTTGAGGGTATTCGAGCACAACAAAAGTATGCAATTACATTTAGGCACATGTAGCTTTTTTTTTTTTTTTTACAAGGACTTAATAGGAATTGTTATATAACTTAATTTAAACATACTGATCCTGTTAGATAATGGTTTTCAGCTGGAGTTCCTCGCAACAAGGCCCAAAAAACTTAAATAAAAACCAGTCTGTTTACCCCATCAGCCAAACAGGTTTACATAACCACAGATAAATAATCAGCAGCAGACCCAGATACCTGCAGAAGGTTGGAAAGTTGTTTTTTTCTGAAGATACATGTAAATAATAAGAATCCCCTCCACCYGCAGGAGAATACTACTGGTTGGAGCCAGCCAACGCCTTCGAGCCCTTCCAGGACTATGATGTGGGTTTGATAGCGCTGGCTTTCTTACAAGGCTCCTTTGCCTATGGAGGCTGGAATTTCCTCAACTACGTGACAGAGGAGCTGGTGGATCCCTACGTGTAAGACATGTTGCTCTGTCAATTACCAACACGTGTCTAATTTCAGTAACGAGAAAACTGTTTTTATTTGGTGCTAAAGGCCATGGGGGAAGAGGGGATCGAAAATCTGGTTGTTGTTTTTTTGTGATTAGTGGTCGCATTCCAACAAGACTTCCCACTTTGATCCTTAATCGTTCTGTTTTTAACGTTTTAAWATTCCCAAATGTCATCCCTTCTTTAAGCTAATTTTTCTTTCTTAGTTTTCTCCTTTTTCCTTTGCGTGAGTGTTTTGTGTTTTTGTTTATTTTTTAATTAGGAACCTTCCGCGTGCCATCTTCATCTCCATCCCCCTCGTGACCTTTGTGTACGTCTTCGCCAACATAGCCTACGTCACCGCCATGAGCCCCCAGGAGCTGCTCGCCTCCAACGCCGTGGCCGTGGTGAGTCTTGTAACTTTATTCACAGGGGTGGAGCTAGACATTTTTGSAAAKGGGTGGCACAGGGGGTGGCCAAGGTGTTATTCAGGGGCAGGGCGGAACATATAAATAAAGGAAACCACCCTGGATTTGAACAWTTAAAATGAACACCGCAGCTAAATTGAAATGGATATAATTTAGCCATTTTTAGACTYATTGAGCTGAAATTTGTTRTGGTGTAGTGCCAATTTARGCTAACGGCTAAWGCTAATTTTACAAAGGGCWGTAATTCAGCCATTTAATACACAGCTGAYAATGTATAAAGAAGTAGCCAAGAATAATCRTTAACAAGATTTGAATGCAAAATCCAAGATGGCCACCAAAGCTAATTTCAAATAGTTGGACCTCAGCCATTTTTTTTAGAAATACTGAGCTGAAACTTGGGAAGGTGGAGCCAAGAGCAATCCCCATGTCGTTGTGAAATCTCAGCTTTAAGCTTTTAGAAATATTAATTTAGTGTTGCGGTAGCTGAGAGTGAAAGATTCTAAAACCAAATAAAAGAATCTAATATGTTCACCGAAGCTAAATTCAAATGGCTACAATTTAGCTGTTTTTATTACATTTTGGGCAGAAATTTGGTGCGGGGGAATTATTTTTATATTAATTCATTGGTTTAGGAAAGCTGCATAACAGATATGTACTTTTAGCTTCAACTGACTATTTTTGCAGCTGCGTTTCCATTGCAAATGTGCGCAAAACTTTGTCGATATTCTGTTAATGTCGAAAAACACAATTTCGCATTAAGAAATGCTATTAAAGTCACGCGTGAATACGCTTGTTCTCRCGATGTTATTACAAACATGGCAGCAATGGATGTAAACAATCCTGCATATTGCTACCACGACACTRGCRCTCATCATCAGCCATCAGAGGAGACGGCATCTTATCGAGGCTTTCGAGCGACAAGACCCTTATACTTGGGARAGGCTACGAATGCTGCGTATTTGGGAAATTGTAGTCAGTGAGTTTACTAYTTTCTTTTACAACTTTGGTGATTCTACTTCTTGTTGTCTTCTTTTTCGTYGTCTTTTCGCCAGTAGAAACAGCCTGTTCTTGATCACGTGACTCCTGTGATGCGAAAAAGTGTTTCCATTGCAGTTTTACGAAATACACCAATTTCGATACGGCCGAAAAACCACCTCATCCTAGCGCAAAGCCATYATGTAAAAAAAACAGAAGTTTTTAAGAAATTGACATGTTTCCATTGAGCAAATTTATTTTCTAAATTCTAATTCACACATTTTCTTGGTCAGTGGAAACGCAGCTACTGACAAATATGAACCCTACCCCCACTTGTCAATAATTAGGGGGTGGGATCTGGGGTGGCTGATCAGGTGCCACGCCCTAATGCCACCCCTCTGGCTTCGCCCCTGTTCCCACCACCACCACCACATTTTGAGATTTTAGGTTAGGTCRCCCACTAGCGATCCCCCCGTCGGTCACTGAACACGTCGGGTTGTTGATCAAACTGCTAACCTTCACCTTCCCGTCTGTCTGCTCCAGACGTTCGGCGAGAAGCTGTTGGGAGTCATGGCGTGGATCATGCCCATCTCCGTGGCTCTCTCCACCTTTGGGGGTGTCAATGGTTCCCTCTTCACCTCGTCACGGTAAGTTGGGCTTAACCCCAAGGCAGCATGTGAGATAAAAAGACTTTGGGCCTATTCTATGAAACTTAATAGCGCATCAGATGTGCAGCRAGGGTTACTCATCTGTCAAATGAGCAAAACAGCAGCTGTAATCCATTCATCGTGTTTGCCTGCATGAATATGCAGAATATACAATGATTATCAGAATGTGCAAAATACTGGGGGGAGGATATCTTATATCTATCCTAACGTATGGATGCGTCGTGTATTTACATGGTCTCCCTGTGTTGTCTGGACGGTGTGTTTACTGACAGGCTGTTCTTTGCTGGAGCCAGAGAGGGTCACCTGCCGAGCCTGCTGGCCATGATTCACGTCAAACGCTGCACTCCCATCCCGGCTCTGCTTTTCACTGTGAGCACTTCCTTTATTCTGCTTTTATACTGTGAACTGAGGGCACATCTGCACAACTCAGTCTGTTTTACATACATTAAGCTATAATTTGCTGTGGTAGTAGCTGAGYCTGAGTCTTTTASCAAAACCAAAATGTTTAAGCTGCAGAAACCTACAACCTCTGCCTTTATTCCTCAGTGCCTGTCCACTCTGCTCATGCTGTGCACCAGTGACATGTACACCCTGATCAACTATGTGGGCTTCATCAACTATCTCTTCTATGGAGTCACTGTCGCCGGGCAGATCGTCCTAAGGATTAAACAGCCCAACATGCACCGGCCAATTAAAGTGGGTTCATTAAGTGCTTTATTATAGATTATCCAATTAGCACTTTCTCTATGTGAGTGTTAGAACGCTCTTTCTTTCTGCCCTCCAGATCAGTCTGATATGGCCGGTTATTTACCTGGTCTTCTGGGCCTTTCTGCTCATCTTCTCCCTTTACTCTGAGCCYGTGGTGTGCGGCATCGGCCTGGCCATCATGCTCACCGGGGTCCCCGTCTATTTCCTGGGCGTCTACTGGGACAACAAGCCGCAGTGCTTCGACTCCTTCGTTGGTAAGTGAGCTCTCTCTGGGAGTTTTATTATGTCGTAGATRGTGAAAATATTAAAATAAMGGTTTAGCTCTGTGGAAAGSTTGTGAACAATCAGTATCTTACCTGTCGWGGATAGCTCTTTGAACCACCTCAATTTGCATAAATAGAGATGTAGTTCTTTGTCGTTATTTTTGGTGAAATGCTAAATCTAATGTATATCTTYAAAGTCTGGATGTGGATTGGTATTTGGAGAAAGACATTAAAAAACTCTATTTTTTGCTAAAAAAAAATTTTTTTGGTTTACTCGTAGCAGCATATAAAAAATCCATTACAAGAAAAGGACTGAAAGATGAAACACACAGCAGCAACGAGTGTGTTAGCATCATGCATAATGTTTAAATCACGGAAAAGATCGCATTTTCACTAAGGGTCCTTAAAGAGGAGTTTTAAAGAATCCGGTTGAAGTGGTCTAAGTACGTCAAACCTGTAAGATCTGATTTCTTGTGAACCCACATCATTAGCTGTACGGTATTTTTTTTCTTTTAAAAATTTTCAAGCCTCCAGCTCTTTTTTTTCTTGTTCCTGTTTAGCAGCTGTTTTCCTTTGTTCTCTTTTTTCTGGCATATCTTCCATAAGTCATATCTATGTTTCTGCTTTTGAGCTGAAACCAGCAAAAATGAACAAAAAGGGAATAAAAAATAAATTTCTGGAGGTGCCACTGCACCCGTATAAGTTTTACTTTTTTTCTATTTAAAKTGGTTGCTGTATAAATTATCTCCACAAGATGCCAGTAATTCATACATTTCACAAGAAAGCCTTTTTTTGTCCATAACAACTTTATCATACGGCTTATGAGGCTCATTTTGACTTTTTTTATTTTAAAATAAATCCATCCACAAACAACAAAAATTCACTGTGTTATTTTGCTAAGAAAGAATGAGTAACAGCGGCCTCATTAAACACTCATGTTTTAAAGCAACCAGTGAGCCAACACCGCCCTCTAGTGGTGAAACACTGAAAAGTTCGGTTAAACTAGAGGAATTTCCTTTGTCCCCTGCCTGCAATCAGATTTTTGCTAACTCTTTCTCCATCTTCTTTCAGATAAAATGACGTACCTGGGCCAGAAGATGTGCGTGGTTGTTTATCCAGCAGAGACCAAAGACACCAGCAAAGAAGGAGAGGAAATGAAGGAGGTGACGTCTCCTCTKGCGCAGGACGACTGCCACAAATCAGAAGACTGCTGAAACTTACCACCTCATTTTGTCACCCCCCCCCCCACACACACACACACACATACACACACACAACCTGACCCTTTCTTTCTCAGAAACCATCTGCAGTCCGTCACATGCTCACACGGACGTGCGCGACACACGCAAACACAATCCAAAGTACGTCGTTTAACGATCAACGTTGTGTCTTAAGATTGTTTTTTTTTTTTTGTCCAAGTGACTTGTGAATCAGTAGGTCTAATATTCTGTGCCAAATACATTTACAGTAACCTCAACCTCTTTTAAATCTGGGGTCCATACAGAGTGCAATAAAGACAATTTAGCACCTTCCAGCTCCTCATTTCATTATCAGAAAAACTGATTTCATCTTCTTCATCATCATCATCATCATCATCAGCCTCTGCTTCAACTCCTTCCACATCTGCATCCTTCCACTCAACAAACATCAGAAGTTTTTATTATTATTTTTACTAAAGACTCTAAATGAACTGTGAGTGTCACACAAACACTTGTTTAAAAAAATGCTTTATTTCTCATTTTCCTCACATTCAAAACAGCAAAAGTGCAGATTTGTCAGAACAGAAACTCTAATTCACCTTTTTTATCTAATCTGTTGTGTATTCTTTTTAAAGTCTAATGCCTCCTGTTTTTTATAATTATTTCTTTTTATTTTTTCTATCATGTTAACTTTAGTTTTGTTGATTTGTGTTTTTCTTTGAACATTATTTTCATCTAGTTTTACTTCTTTTTTCTTTTGTTAAACTGTGCCTGAGGGTTGATGCAACATCCTGACTGTGTCTTGGTTTAAAACAAAAAAAAAAGCACAACTTTTGTTTAATTGCCTTAATTAGAACTGGTTTTGTTGAGTTTTATTTTTATTTTTTGTGATTTTGTGACATTGTAGCTGTGTTTCAACAGATGCGGAGAGATGGTCAGGACAACTTTGAAAGTTTCTTTTTTTTTTTTGTTAAAAGGACAAACAGGAAAGTGACACAATCAAACTGTTAGGAAAACACTTGCATTCCTCTTGTGCTACATTGACACGTGAACAGTGAGAGTAGTACTTTTGTACAACCCTGATGCCAAAAAATTCGGGACGTTGTATAAAATGCAAATAAAACCAGAATGCAATGATTTACAAAACTCACAAACTCATATTTTATTCACAGTGGAACATTTCAAAGACAAATACAAAGTTACTGTCCAGTCAGGGCCCTAACAGTTGTTAGGCTGATGGTCCTTTTTTTTTAAATGTGAAGTTTTGATCGTCGTTGTTAAACTTGTTTGTCCACCATCTGAAAGTACCGATTATACCTGCAACACGTCAGACTGAAGAAGTCTCCTCGGAGAAGAGAGAAATRTTTTCAACAAAGAAGAACCTGTCTAGAGGGCCTGCTCAACTTTTCTTTTAGATMAGGTAGTTTTAARTTTGATGGCATCAACAGATCTYAAAAACGCACAGACAAGGTCACRTTTCCAACCTCTTTTTTTCAACAATCTGTAAACCTGGAGGAACACAGTTCAGCTGCTGGAGTTTTTGTTGAAAAACGTCCCAGTCTTGTCTGATATTCCAGATGTTCAACAGTCCTGAATCTTCTATGCTGGATAGAATCAAATACTGCCCGTGTCATRGGCATTAATGCACCCCTATAGCATTAGAGAGGCAGGGTTTTGACCTTTGTGCAATAATAAGCTGGAAAAAATCATCTATGGCTCAGTTCATTTTAAATGAGCTTTGACAGCATCTCTGAATGGTGCTCACATGATTGCTTCTTCGCATGTGAACTGTGTTTACAAACAATGATTTGTGGAAATGTTCCTGAGCTCATAAGTAGGATTGTCCACAACAGACTCAGACCTGTTTCAATGCAGTGGCCCCCGAGGTCCCAAAGATGATGATGCAATGTTTAAAGTTGTTTAATTTTCCATTAACATTATTCTAAAAATGTTTCACTATTTTTATAGGTTTYTTTATACAAGTGAGCCTCTGCTCATCTTTACTCCTGAAAAATCCAGCCTCTAAAAGGGTCTTTTTATACCCAGTCCTCTAACTGACGTGTTTCTGATTTGCTACCCTAATTTGTTGCAAATTAGGTTAAGTCCACTAAAAATTTCACAAGTGTMAAACTTGTATTTTTATGTCATTCATCCCATATTAAATCTTACAAGCAGTGCTGAATGTGTTAGGCACCTTGTGTAGCATGTAGCATMTTTAGCRGCTAAACTTCAAACTAAAAGYGTGAAAAAATAAAGTACCATTTAGCAATATTTAAATAACAAATGCAAAACTGATTACATATAAAATATGGTAGAGAATGTATTTGCTTTTTCTTTCTTTGACTATCTTCAAATGATATTTATATAAACAAAAAAGTGATCTAGAAATGCTTTTATTTTGAAAGGGGTACACAAGTTAGACAGAGCTGTAACTCTGCCTTCAATTGGCTGATTTACCACAGACGATCCCGCCCCCTTTC